GGTGTGAAGAACCACTACTCTATCCACGTTAAATTGGACAAGGAGCCCCAGTGAGTCACAGTCCTTATTCTCCCCATAAATGTACTCAATCATGACTCGCAGGCTTATCGACGCTCCGCAAGCCGCGCCGTGAGTTAGTCTTGTCTAACGCATGGATAGAAGGGAGGGAGAGATTTAGAGTGAATCAAAATTATCTTACGAACATACCCTTGGACATCACGTCTTTAGTAGAATGGAAACCTGTCTTTACGACCAGCATTGCCTAACTTTGGTTAAACTGAATTAGACCACAAATGGTCTGACTGGAAAGTCCGATGACTGGCCCAATGCAAGAGTCACTCAGTCAGCTCCTTCTGTCAACCGTCATGTCTTGTGGGTAGTTTGAGGGCAAGATTCATTTCTATTCCTCATCTCATCCTCATTTTCTAGCAAATATGAATACCTCTAGATCGACTACCACAACCTCACATTCTGCCTCCGAAACATCTACATCTTTAATTCTCGGTGTGCCACCAGAAATATTGCTCTATATTCTTGACCTGGTCCTCCCTCCACCATTTTTCGAAGAGGACTTCTCGTTTTCCGACCTCAATACCAACTTCGAGCACCATCGAGCAACCCAAGCCTTACCTCTCCAACTGGTGAACCGCGCATTTCGCAACGCGAGCCTCCCTCTCCTCTACGGCTCCATTCTACTCCCCTCTGTTGGACATCTTCTCGCTCTCGGACAAACTCTTCGAGAGTCCAAATCAATAGCTTCCCAGATATCATCGATTGTTTGTTTATTCTTTTGGGACAAGCAGTACTTCAAAGCTGCAGAGCAAGAACTAGAGTGGATTCTGCAGTCGTGTCCCCGGCTGCCCCGTGTCAAGATTTCGACGCGTTCATATAACCAAGGTGATCTCGATGTCGCTTTCACTTCGTTCCTTTATCCCTGGACCCAAGTCACGCACCTTGATTTGTCGGTTGTGAGTTTGGAAACGATCGAAAATGTCTTCAGAGCGATGGCCGACCATCTCTGCTTCGCCAAAATTGAGTTGGACAAGCCCCTTGTACAGCCTACATCCCTAAATGCGGAACTCGTCGTGTGCCCGTTTCTAGTACACCTTCACCTTTCATTTTCGTGGCCAAGCACCTTCAAAATTTTCCAGCGTTGGCGGTTTCAGTCTCTAGTTCACCTCACAATCAACCTACCGGATCAAAAACCAGATACTTTTATCGTGCCGATACTCATACATGCTTGCCAGAGCTGGGGTGGCGGACTGGAAACGCTCCAGACGCTTCATGGAATTGGCGGAGTATCCAGCGTCAAGGAAGGCTACCATCTTGATGGCGTTCAAACAATCCTTGACGCCTGCCCAAAGATTCGTCATTGGATTACCGTTGGTCGCTTCATCTCTCCCAATGGACTTTCACACCCCACTCTCCAGCAGATAGATGTCTTCGAATCTGGGCAAAGCTCCTTCTTCCCCCGTGGCTTTGAAGATTTTAGAGATAGAAGCACTTTCCCATCTCTCGTTAATATTCGGACTATCTCCTTGGATCTCTATGCGTACCCACCCATTGTCAGAGCCACAGCGCCTTATCTTATAGGAGCACCCCACGTTTTCGATTACGTGGGGACGTGTATTGTCTCGACAGAAGACCGACTGTTTAAAGTCAACCTTCCGTCCAACCACCTCGATCGCTTCATGGTAGGCCGAAGTTGGATTGACAGTGGTTTAGATCCTGGGTTTCCTCCAGATGAGAGCGACCTCGAGGACGAGGACTACATTCAAGGGTCACAATCGCCTTCGGAAATATCCGAAGATTATTCTCACTCTGACTCTGAAGAGGACGAGGATGGTTTTTATCGTGACCTGTATGAGATGGATCCCGTCCTGAATCGGGAGGAGCTTTTGGAGATATTTGATCGCCTTGCAGAAGATGAGGAGAGGTCAGACCCACAGATCGAAGGAGACAATGAATCTGACAAAAGTTTTTTGGGTGGAGGTATTTTAGAAGGGGCATGAAAATGATAAGTAAAGCAGGATGGTAGTTTACGGCGATTGGCCATTTGTTGCCGAAGACCACAGGATTATCTAGACAATGCAGGATTTTTTATGGCTATGTAAGATGCACGAACTAAGAATTATGCTACAAGATGTGGATATTGTTTCCTGTACAGTCTATTATCGTCAAAACGCTTCTCTACGATCTCCCACAATACGAGATTACAACAGATCATGCAACACTCTATCATAATTATGCGGCATATGAGCACTAGGCAAATAATTAGAACATTTTAGTAGAAAAAAGCAGAGAAGGAGTGGGATATACCTCAGCATATCACGGGCAAAGACAATCTGCCCAAACACCTTCTCAACATCTAACACGTCGAACAAACGAAGACGATCTGGATCCACCTGATGCCCTTTGAGGCGATTCGATGAATGTAGGTCATTGTCACGGACAGCCCAAAGAACACGGCCCGGTGGATATGTGTCGGCTTGATGCATGTTAGCCTCGAGCGTTTTGCGCAAAGAAACAAACTATTAAATGATTTAAGGTGAGAAACCACGAAGAGAATACATGATGAAAGAAAGCTAACCCATTCAAAATCTCCCCTCTGCCCTTTACCGTCCCGCCACTTTCTAGCTTTTTTGATCACATCCCATGATCCTTCGCCTTCTGTTCCTTCCCCCCCTTCACATAACCATAAAGCAGCGTTCTTTAAATCGCGTACAGAGCCAAGAGAGAGTCTTGAGACTACATCGTGCGAGTATACAAAGCTCGTGATGAGTGCGGAAGAGACAGCACAGAGTCTGGAGTCAAATAACGAGGGTGGAGCGAAACAATATACTGAAACATGGCGGTCGGTGGGAAGACCAGACGATTTAACTGTGAGGCATGTGATTGGATCAGCCCACATAAGGCTAAACAAAAAAGTGTCAGGGGTCAGTGGACGATGAAGGAGATGTACCGACGAACCCAAGAATCGCAGCCACACCAGCGCCAAGACTATGGCCACACATCACCAGCTCGTATCCTGGATTATGGTGAAGTGCTTCATGTACAGCAACTTGCACTGGCTTTCCTTTGTCGCCCATCGCTTTCGCCATCCGAAGCATACCTCCATGAACATGATACTCGTGTTTCGTGGTGGAACTGGTTTCAGATGCTGTAGGAAATCGAATCTGATCAAGCTCGAAGTGTCCCGAAGCGGCTGGAATTTCATCGTCTTCAATGGGTGTAGATGTTGCAGGCTCGAAAATATCGGGTTCACATGTTAGGTCGACGGCGATCTCGTTTAGAGACATTGTTCCTAATAGTGAACGGTCAATGCCATTGAAAATTTCATATGATGTCGTACAGCCATACCTCGAAGAACGAGCACAATTTGACCTCTCGAGTGATCAGTCAAAACCCAGAAGCGCGGCATAAGATGTTCAACGCCAACCACCGCCGTTGCCTTCATCTTCTCTTGAACTTCTTTCTTGATGGTACCCTTCTCTTTCTCATCTGGTGTATTCGCAAAGCGTTCAAAAATCTCATGGTCGTGTTTTCCCAGCAACACATCCCACCACGAATAGTGAGTGTCTCCAATAGTGGCATCAACATCGTCGAGGTCGCTGAACTCACCACGAGCTTGCGCTTCGGAGGCATCGATAGCATGAGCTAGCTGAAGCTCTTCCTTTGCGCGTTCTCGAGGGGAGTTGCGAGTAGTTGCACCATGCGCCGCTGAAGGTGACACGCCGAAGAATAGGAGCGAAGCTCCGCCATATCCTGCTAGAACCATCTTGGATAATCGGCGGAGAGTTGATTTGAGCTCTTTGTCGGACATCCGTGCATGCAATGAAAGAACCCGAGAAGGGGGCAGGTCGGTAGGAACGTCCAGGAGGTGTGCTCTTTTAGCGGACGGGCGGCCAAGTGTTTGGTATGGCTTTTGGAAGATAGATTGAGCGCGTGGCGCAGGTGCATCTCCCATTTCAGCTGAGATGATCTGACCAATGTTGTTGGGGAAGATGATGTCGGATGTGACTCTGACTCGTGAGCCTCTGGAATTGTAGTTAAAAGGCATGTTGGGAAGTGGAACGAGAAATTGTGTACATACCTCCTTGCCCGTAGAGAGTCTAAATTTCGCGGAGGAGGCTTAACGTGAATTTCTTTCAGATGTCTGAACCACATTTTTTCATGCTCCTCCTGCGTAACACCTTGCAAGGCACCCCAAGCGACAATAGCTTGGACAACTTTGGTGATGCCGAATTGCCGTTTGGGCAGGTTCTCTCCGCTCACTGGATCGTTCCATTCTCGTTTGACCAGATCTAAAAAGGAGGCCAGGGAGAATGAGGCATCGCTAGTGCCAGGGAAGAAGACGGAAAGCATGTTGATGGAACTATGGGCAGCGAGTAGGGATGTCGAGGTAATGTATTCACCAAGAAAGATTGGAGCTAGCGTGAGTTGTTCCACAACCGTGAGCGCTTTAGATATCGCTCCTCCAACGATGGGACGGGTGACTTGGGTGCCACCAAAGAATGCATGGTCCACAAGAGTTGTCGTGACACCGACTGCGGTCGAAGTTATTCCACGTGTAACAGCAAACTACAAGAGCACAAAATGAGCATGGATGGAATAAAATACTGATTGATAAGCACCCACTCCAAAACGAGTGGTGGATTTAGCGACTCCAAAGCCAAACGTGGTAGCTGAGGACGCTAAGTCAACGCTCTGCCTGGATATTTTTCCCCAGTCCATTGTTTTAGATAGTGGCGGACTGAAGTAAGAGTGTATGCATCAAGATATGCATCCAAGAAGGCAGAACTCTGGGGTTGTGGCGAGAAACAAGCTGCGTATGATGGGCATGTGAATTCCATTTAATCCTTTAATCATACTCATGGTCTGGCAAAAATTCAAATATGATCTTCTTTTTCAGATAAACAAAAGCCTAATACAATTTGAAAACGAGTATTTAAGACCTTGTTACGATGGTTAAGAAAGAAAAATTGGATGTACGAGAATTATGTCCGCGACCGGATTCGAACCGGTGGCTCTTCGGTATTGCAATTGCAACCACAACGAAGTGATTTGACCCCTAATCGACGCAGACCGAAAGGGACAGCGTTAGATGCTGTTATAATACGAGGAGTGCCGCGAAAACATATTTGGAAGTCCGACCCTCAGGTCCAAAGAAAACAAGTGGTTTTTTCTTGGTGCCTAATCACATAATTTGAACAGATCTAATTACCTTTTTTATTCTCTAATCTTCCAGGCACTTGCCTCCTGGGCATTCATGCTGTCAGGTTAGTTTTACATATCTTTGCCAGTCAAATAGCTGCAAGAAATCACCAACTTTCGATCCTGGGTCTCTTGGCAGGCTCAAATCGCCCAAAATTGTGCTCAACAAAGTCTTCACGTCAATGCAAGGAAAGTCTCATAAAAATCCTCCAGGATGAGGTAAATCGGTTCCCGCGGTTTTGGAGCCATGTAAAACCACGATACCAATACCTTTTGCTACTTTACTTGACGTGCTGAGGTCCTAGGGAAAGATCTAATGGACAGCCCACATATGTCAGTTCAGTTGGGAGGATGGACGTCGAGAGGGAAAGTCTGTTTGAAGATATTGGTCTAAGTGTTGTCGATAGCTTTCCAGCAGGTGTCCAGTCCTAGTACCCCTTCAGCAAGACTTTGTAAGTCACAGCTTGAAATTTGTTGTTTTAGAGGGTCAATTATTGCATCGGAACATCCTAGTTCGGGGCTAGAGCGAAGATCTGCATGAAATTCAGTCAAGTCAAGTTCAGAAGTTACGAGCTCCCAGGACAGGGACTAAGCTGCAAGGGACCAAACTGGTGGTTCCACTACCATGCTTGGGTTAACCGTATATGAATCGGTCGCGAAGAGATCGAGACAATAACCTGAGTGTTGGGTTGTTCTCAAGGACCAGCACGAAGAGCTCGACACAGCCAATGGCCTCATCCACCTTCCTGGAGACATTTAGACAGGAGGACTTTCCTCAATGTATCAAAAATCTAGAGCGTTGAACTCTCAACTTTTCGATAAGGTGAAGGCTGGTCGCGGGTAGCGATGGTGGAAGAGAGAACGGGATGATAGTTTAAATGAAAGCAAGGGGGTCAATAGGTTCTTAGACACCTTCCTTTTCTTCGGTATGACAGGGAATAACTTTCATAGTTATGTTCAGCAGTGATCAAGACCTCAAGAATTCCGACTTGGCCAAAAATGTGCCTTCTTCGCAGTCTTGAGCCATATTGAATACTTTTGAGGGTAATACGGGAGCATTTCAAAGGAAGGAGCATCCAATTTATGGTTGATTCTTGTGGGCGGCATGATTCCAAGAGCTTGAGGCCGAGGGAAGTGCGAGCAAGTGCCAAGAACATCGACGTCCTGTTCAAGCACAAACTTTACGGCTGCAATCTCAATGCTGTTGCCTCTTGTTCCCGTGTTCTGACCTCACACGACTTACCTCATTGTCGCCCCATTCTCTTCAATATTTTTGAAGTATCCTACAGTTCCCTTTTCAACCTATTAGAGAGGTCCTAGCCTTTGAGCGACACAGATTTTGGAGTCACTTGCGGCCCCTGCGAACCGCCTCCCACTCGTCTCTCCAGCATCTTCTGTCGTATCAACCACTTCTCATGTCGAGCGAACACCTCCCGCTATCAACTGGACAGCATTCAAGGTCGGCGGATTACTACGGTGAGTTCTCTCATCACGGTTGTGCGCAGTATTACAATGTCGGCTTTGGCGGATTCATTCTTGCTGCTCAACTTACACTACAATCTTATGTTCAACTTAACTTACATTTGAAATAGATGAACATGACGGCGACGATGAGACCAACACTCTCATTACCCCACGCTCAGCCGGCTTCAAGGACGAACCTTTGACGCCTCTCTTAGAATCTGGTCGCTCACGAGAGATTACTTCGGAGAAGCGGTACACTAGAGATATCGGACTTCGTGCCGCTAAACGACATCGCAAACTACTCATCGTAGGGTTTTGTGGCCTCGTTGGTGCCGCAATTGTCATCGCCGCCGTGACGGGGTGGATCTACCGAGGCGCAACCAATGCACCCCACCATGGAAAGAAGAAAGTGACGATGGACCACCTTTACAACGGGACCTTCTATACCCATCGGAGCGGTTTGAAATGGGTAGCAGAAGGTACGAAATTTAACTTTTTTTTTTCTTTCCATGTTAAATCGTTTCTTCGCAGCTGGGGACGGCGTATATGCCATTGAAGAGCACGGAAAGATTGAACTTGCAGATTTAAGTTCCAATACTACCAAGACCCTCGTCGTCGAGAGCGATATTACGGACGTAAGTCTTCTCTTCAATCCTTCTGCCTCCTATCTGACCCGTGGTAGCCAAAAACTGGATCTGCTCTGTACTTTGAAAAATGGGCTCTTTCGCCAACACAGCCAACGCACATTCTTCTTAAAGCGCACAACAAGAAACAATGGCGACATTCGTCCATTGGGACGCACTACGTTCACCACTTCGAGAGCAAGCAGACGTGGGCTCTCCTCAATTACAATGGCATTGAAGGTGATGAGGCTCTCGCAACCTGGCTCCCGAACGGAGAGGGCGTCGTCAGTGTGAAGGGTGGAGACTTGTTCTTGAGTTGGACTGATGGGTATGCACTCTTACCATTCCTCACAAAAGGCCGAGCATCTTATCGTTCTTAGTCCTGCGGACCCGATTACCATCACTTCGTCATCTACGGGCAACTCCAGCGAAACAACCATCTTTAACGGCGTCCCTGATTGGGTGTATGAAGAAGAGGTTTTCTCTTCTGAAAGCGCTTTCTGGATAAGCCCTCTCCATCCCAATTTCCCTGCGGAACGCCAGCCTCATCTTCTTGCATACTTGACCCTCAACTCGACTGAGGTCATGAAGTATCATTATCCACTGTACAACCCGACCGAGGATCCAAATGAGGTTGAGAGCTACCTTTACCCGCAAGACATGAAGATCCCTTATCCGAAGCCGGGTGGGCAGAACCCAGTTGCTGGAATTCGGATTGTCAGACTAGCCAAGGAAGGCATTTCCAAGTCTATCATCCTTGACTGGCCGGAGCGACTCCCAGAACAAGACTCCATCATCCAAGAAGTTGCTTGGGTTTCCGATAGCCAACTCATCATAAAGCAGGTCGACCGATCCGCTGAAAAAGGCCTTGTTATTTTGTTCGAGTTCGATGGGTTCAATTGGGCAGACGGACAGGATACGATACAAGGTACCATTGTAAGAAGGCTTGGTAAAGACGGTGAAGAGGGCGATGATGGTTGGATCGAATGTGTAAGTCCTGTCCTCTTTGAGATCTCCTTTGGCAAGAGGAATCTGACTCGAAAGACAGTTCCAAAACATTCGCGGCCTCCCTGGTCACTTAGTTGGAGACGCGGGAGGTTACCTTGACATCATCCCAGACAAAGCAGGCTACAGCCATGTCGCTCTCTTTTCTCCGCCCACATCATCCACCCCGACCTTTTTGACCACGGGAGAGTGGGAGGTTGATGTGAATGAGGGCATTCTCGGCATTGATACCCAAAGACGCAAAGTCTACTTCCGCGCTGGCAACCCGTCCATCGAGAAACGAATCCTCTCCGTTCCCATACCTGGTGGTGGTGATATCAAACAGGTCCTCTTCTCCGATTCAGAACCTACACATGAAGTTGGTGAAGGTGTTTGGGGGGCTTCCTTCTCCCCAGAAGCCGGCTACTTCGTCCTAAACTACAACGGCCCCGACGTTCCTTGGCAAGCCGTTGGGAGAGTGGAAGGACAAGAAGGAAATTTCCAGCGAATTAAGACGCTACAGACCAATGATGATCTCAGAGCGACATTGAATAAATTTGCACTGGGACAGAATGTGTTTAGTGAAGTGGAAGTGGACGGATATAAACTCAACGTAAAGGAGATTCGACCACCGAATTTCGATGACAGTGGAAAAACGAAGTATCCTGTTCTTTTCCAAGTGTATGCGTGGTTTCCAATTTCTCAGCCATTGCCCCACTGATGATCGCTCCTCACAGATATGGCGGACCAGGCTCCCAAATGGTGTCCAAAACACACAGCCTCTTCTTCATGGAATATCTCCCATCCGCCTTAGACTATCTAGTCGTCATCGTCGACGGCCGAGGCACAGGCTGGAAAGGCCGCCACCTGCGTAACCCCGTGAAAAACAACCTTGGCTGGTATGAAACCATTGATCAAATTGCCGTTGCCAAAATATACAAAACCCAAAAACCGTATGTCGACCCTTCTCGTATTGGTATCTGGGGATGGAGCTATGGTGGTTTCATGGCTGCTAAAGTAGCGGAGAAGAACGCTGGCGTGCACACGTTGGCGATGAGCGTTGCACCCGTTACATCGTGGAGGCTTTACGACTCTGTGTACACAGAGCGATATCTCGGGTTGCCGGTGAATAATCCAGGAGGGCTACTTGAATGCTTCCATTCAGAGTGTAGATGGCTTTGGAAACTTGGATTATTTGCTTGCTCATGGCACTGGTGATGACAATGTACACTTTGCGAATACGGCGAGGTAAGTTACTTTGAGCTCTTGATTGCATTGAGAGCTCCATTTTCATGTTTCATTACCTTAGGCTCGTCGATATGTTAACGACCAAGCATATTCGAGGGTGGAGCTTTAGAATGTTCACGGATTCGTATGTTCTTTCCATTTCATGCCTCGCTTCAAGGGAAGTCTAATTTGCTGTACAGTGACCACGGCATTAACATGCGAGGCGCAAACCGTGAAATATATCAGTTCCTCAATGACTTCTTGGTTGAGAAGTGGGGTGTAGGACCGAAAGGGAAACATAAAACACTGAGTTGGGGCGGACGGTGATTATGGTATGGACATTCGTAGATGTGACTGTATTTATTGCCGAAGAATGGTGCTATTACATGAAAAAAACAGGAGCATTGATACCATATGTATATTTCACCGGCCGAAGACAAATGTGGTAGGCTTAGAGCCTAAACAAAAACCCAAGATCCTCTGGCGTTAACTTGCCCATCGCTTGGTCATCTGTACTCAAAGTAGCATCTACCATCGCACTCTTTTTCTCTTGCAACTGCACAATTCTACTCTC